CCCCAAAACCCCAAAACCCCAAAACCCCAAAACCCCAAAACCCCTAGATTTTATAAATATATTGAAAATGCTCTCCCTCAATGAGTTACTCCAGTCATTAACAAGTTTAGGCTCATCAAGGAGCAGAAGGAAATTGAGAAACAGATCCAGAATGAAAAGGACATCAACAAGAGTCGCTTAGCCAGCGTCAAGAAGGGTACTTGGTCTGTGTAATCTCTAGGCCAAGCTCTTACATTTGAAGAGTTCAAATAAGCAAAGCACGTTGGGAAAGAATACACTCAGTACGTAGGTTCTTTCAGTCTAAATTCTTTCTTCGTCTTCTCATTTCAAGTCCCAACGGGGCCACCCACATTTTAGTCCAAGCAGCCCAGGCTGAGAACAAGATCAAGACATTAGCCAACAAAGCTCAGTACTTGAATAGAGCTGTTAAGGATCTTAAAGCCAAATAAGAAGAAAGTCATGAGAAAAATAGGAAAGAAAATAGCTGACTCCTTTGGCAACAAAAAGGTGATACAAAAATTTAAAAGAAAACCTGAGTAATTTTTAAGAACTATTTTAGACAAAAGCAAGAAACTGAGGAGAATAAGCTTAACTTGAGGTCCCAAACGTTGCGAACTTCACCAGCGAGTCTCAAAAGCAGTAATGAGAGTTATTCTGAAGTATAGGTAGCCTAAACCGCAAAATTACAACAAAAATGAAGCTAGAAAACACCCAAAATATTATCCATGAACATATTGAAGAAAATATATCTCAAGAGAAATAGCTTGGGAGATCTGGAGTAATATATTTTCATAATACTATAGGCTGAATGAGACTATCATCAAGAACATTGAGGAGGAGAAATTGGACCATGAGGTACCACTAGAGGATTCTCCCAAGAACCCTATTGAGAAAGCCACACATCTAAAGGAATTATTCTCCAATCTGAGCAAATAAACAAAGCAAAGAGATAGAAGTTAAGGAAGAAAATTTACTAATGGATCTCTATTTCCATACTATCAATAACAGCCATATCTTTGATAAAACTGAGAGCAAGACCAACTTCAAGAAGGGAGAGCGAACATTAGTTCAGTCTATTGTCACTCGGTCAATGGACTACTCAAAAGGTAAGAAAAGTCTCACCCAAAGGCATGTTTAGGTACCAAAATGGAAGGAAAAGTTCTGTCAAATAAATAGCCAATTTTTGTCTTTAAACAGGCCGAAAATAGTAAAATCTCGGCCAAAGAAAATCAAAATTATAAAGAAGGCCTACCAGCCTGACATGGCAGAGTACTATGATGAGCTCTTACCTGTAGGATCATGGAATCTCCAACTCTAAACTCAAAAATCAGCAACAAATTAATGAAGAAAAATCCAAATATTTTAATTTCCAAGAGTCGCTATCGACTAAGATCACAAAATTTGCCAGAATTTAGCCCAAAGCAGGTAACTTACTCTAAAAATAAATAGAGATTCTCATCAAGAGGCAATAGTTCTGTAAAGCCGAATAATCATGACCGGAATGGATTGCCTCCTATTCATCCAATCAGGAAAGACGAATCCAAACACTTTCTCTCTAAGAGATCGAGTAATGACAGTGTGAGAATCACTCCGAAATCTAATAAAATATTCCCTTGGAACCGAAAACCAAGCAACCGATATCAAATAGCCAAGCAGAAAATGGAGAGGAGCCGAGACTACTGGATCTCAAATGTTAAAACCAGACTTAAAAGTCCTGAAGAGATTCAGAAAGAGTACAAGCTCCTTAGAGAATCTAGAAGTGCTCCAGCCAATGAAGAGGAGTTCAGGTTTGTCACACTTGAACAGCTATCTATAAGCAAAGGGAATAGGATCCAGTTCTTTCGAAGATAGATTCAATATTAAGGTTTACAAGGGGTTTTGGGGTTTTGGGGTTTTGGGGTTTTGGGG